TTTTTATTTAGGATCAAGAAGAATGTTAGATGTAATGGATGTTAACACTCAAAAGAATTTTGAAATGACTATGAAAGAATGGACTAAGTATTATGAAGAACCGGTGAAAGATAAACTTTTAAATGTGATTTCACTTGAATTCAGCCATACAAAGCTAGAAAACTACATTAAACGTCCAAATATTGTAAATATTACTTTTTTAAACAACCATTTATTTTGCCATTATTGATTTATGCTTAAATTGTAATCAAAATATGAAAGTGATTTATAATATATTTTTTACTTTATAAATATGTATTATTAAAGTGTACTACTGACCTTTACATAATTAACCTACGTTCAATTATAAATAGGTTTGTTTTTTTATGTAGGTACGAGAGCTGGATTGGGTTGATTGTGTTTGGCCTAAACATTTGAAAGAGAGCCAAACAGAATCAACAAATGTCATAGATGATATGATGTATCCAAAGGTTCAAAAGTATTGTTTGATGTCTGTTAAAGGCTGTTACACTGATTTTCATATTGATTTTGGTGGCACGTCCGTTTGGTATCATATACTTAAAGGAAGCAAGGTAAAAATTGTCTATTTTTTAATTAACTAAAAAGTGTTAAATAAATATACATTTTAAGGTTTTTTGGTTAATACCACCAACTGAACAAAACATAAAATTGTATGAACAATGGATACTATCTGGTAAACAAGGTGACATATTTTTTGGAGATACAGTCGAACAATGTGGACGTGTATCATTGAATGCTGGGGATACATTCTTCATACCTACTGGTTGGATTCACGCCGTTTATACACCTAAAGACTCATTAGTATTTGGAGGCAACTTTTTGCACTCTTTTGGYATTGAAAAACAGCTCCGTGTTGCAGAAGTAGAAGAATCCACCAAGGTAATTATATTGAAATGTATACTAATTTATAGACTAATCTGAAAAAATGTTTAGGTACCTCAAAAATTCAGATATCCATTTTTTACTGAAATGCTGTGGTATGTTCTGGAGCGTTATGTTTATTGTGATTTGGGTAAATCTCACCTTGCTGAAGGCGTTGAAACTTCACCTTCGCCAGATGAGCATATACATTTCACTAAACAGGTAAAATACTAAAATAAAAATATAATAAGGAAACAGATTATATTGACATGCTTTTATTATTTGTACAGGAGCTTCATGGAATAAAAGCAATTGTGAAATATCTGCATATTTTGCCACCAAATAAAAAAAATGTTCCTCCTCTAATAAAAGATGCTATTGAGTTGATAAGAAATGTGGCCATTGTGATAAATAAACATAAGAATGATATTCCTGAATATGCCATTAGTGGAAAGCCGATTCTTAAGATTCAAGGAGATAAAGTATAATATTTATTTTAATTAATATTTATAATATTATAATCATACTTTTTATTTGCATAGGAAAGGGAAAGAAGGTTTTATAAGACAGCTGGTGATATGAACGCTAAAGTAAAAATTTCACGAAAAACAGCTTCTGGCACAGGAGGGCCTAGAAGAAGGCGTACAAGATGTAAAAAATGTGAAGCTTGTAAACAAGCAGATTGTGGAGAATGTTCATTCTGCAGAGACATGGTAAAATTTGGTGGGCCTGGTCGTGCTAAACAGACTTGTGTGATGCGTCAATGCTTGCAGGTAAGTTAATAAACTAAATAATAGAATTTATTTTCAAGAACTGAATCAATGTATTGTTTAATGTTATAGCCGATGTTACCAATAACTGCAGCATGTGGAATTTGTTCATTAGACGGCTGGGGTCAACAAATTATTATTCCTATACAGAAAGCAGCTAAAGATACTCCTAGCCAACTTATGGAGTGTAGTGTATGCTTTGAAATTGTACATCCTGACTGCTTATTAAAACAAGTAAAAACATATTCATTACAATTGCTTTTCAAAATTCAGATTATTAATATCGACTAAAATTATAAATTACATTTTTCAGCCTATTTATACAAATACTGGTACTTATAATGAAGATCTACCTAATAGTTGGGAATGTCCCAAATGTTGTAAAGAAGGGAAGGAAAGCAAGGTAAGTTAAATGATAAAATTCAATTTTTAAGTTATTTTGTGTACATTTTTAATATTGTTGCAGCCCCGCCATTTTCGTGCAAGACAAAAATCATCTGATATCCGTAGAACTTCTGTCAGTAGCAACGACACTAATCCACAAAAACGTTTTAAAGTATAAAAAAATGATTATTATAAAATTTAAAATTATTTTATTTATTCAGAAAAAAAATTATTAATTTTAGGACGAGGAAGAATACAGTGATACAAATTCTGAAAGTGATGTAGACAATGTTTCTAATAAAAGACTGAAAATTGAGAAAAAAGAAAACTTATCTACGGAAAGATTGCCATCAACGGTAAATATTTTTTTCTTCATTTACTATAAAAAACAGCTTTTAAATATATTTTTAATTAGCAGATCATATCTTTTTATTGTATATTGGTATTGCATTTTTTTTATCATCCAAGAAAGCATGTTCTTTTAACATATAAAACTAATGTAAAATAAAATAACAAACCTAATAAAATATTTTAACAAAACTGGTAAACATCTAACAGTGTATATTATTAGAAATATTTGTGAATTAAATTTCTTATATATTAATGTGATTTAATATCAATTAAATTAATTAGTTTTAAAACGAGATACTAAAATTAATTTTTTTTTTTTAAATTATATTTATCAATCAAATATTATTCAATGAGATCATTAAATTTTGTTTTAAAAATTGTAAATTTTAGACAGAATTATGGATACTACTACCTTGATTTGGAAATAAAATGGTATGATGATAAATAATATAAATGTTACTAGTCTTATAATATATTACTTACAACTAAAATGCTAAATGCCACCTATCAAAGTCTGTTGCATGCATGTGTGCTACCTACCAATTGATTTTAAGGTCATTTTTATTGATTCAATATAATTTTTACTTTAATTTATTTGTCATTGTTGAAAATCTATTGCAATTCCTATTTTCTTAGGTATTTTCTTTTTATAGTGTTACAGAAAACATTTAAGACATTTTCTTTTAACTGACTGATTGCTACCAATCTAACCTCTGAATTGACTATCGATTATGTTTGTTTTATGTGATATCCAAAATTAAGATTTATTTGCATTAAGATGACACCACACCTGCAAATGTTTTCTCTGTCTAAACCCAGGACTGGTGTTAGAGGTGGGCTAGCTGGGTAGACTACTAGAGTTCAAATATAAGTTTTTTTATAATAGTTTATTCTGAACTAAAGGGTGCATAGTTCCCTAAGACTGGCTCTGTGTACACGTAAGACATATGTTTTATTATGTTAACATTTTGAAAAGTTAAAGGTCATTTACAATTGTTGAAATTGTTGCTATTTCTAAATGGTTTAATGGATGATATATTGGGTATCATAGAAAAATGCACCGTCTTGTCATCAAAATACTATCATAATTCAATTTTGTAATTGGTATTTTTACTCTAGAACCAAAATTGAGCGAGTCCTACTCAGACTGCGTAAACAAATTTAYTCTGTGTGAAACTGAGAAAACGCATGCGAGTGTAGCATTCTTTTAAACCATTTTATCCAATTATTATATTATGTAAATATATATACTATTTATGNCTGCAAAGTAATATACTAATATGTACTATTGTATGTAATATGTATTTGTTTGAATTCCACATCATAATATTCAATATTCTAAAGCAGTGGTTCCCAAATTTTTATTCCACTTTTGAATGGTTTTTGCCGCCACGGTGTCCTGCTGTGAATTAAAGACTGGACAAAAAAATTGTTTTCGTTTTTTGTGAACCTTAGACCCTCAGTACCTTGAGAATGTACTTGCGGTACACAATTTGGGAACCGCTATCTAAATAAGAATGTAATCAATGAGTTTTTTCATCAAATATTGTTCTTTATATACTTTTTAATTGGGGATCATAGTTAACATTTTGTTGCCTATATTCTGATTTTGTTGAATGTTTTTATATACCTATATATTATATATAATAGTGTACAACAATTAAGGTTTTAATGTTATAAAAAAAAATATGATAAATATTATGCAAAAACATAAGATAATTTTTACATTATATTTAATAAATAGTACCTAATTATTAGCTTTATGAATAAGTAATATTTGTTTATATTTGCTTGTATTCTTTGAGAACAAACTATTGACGACAACTGCAATCTAAAAATGATTTGTCCTTAGAAATAAAGCTCATAATAATATTAAGATCAAACATTTAAATTTTTAAATTTATATGGTTTACAGAGAACACGCAAAGAAAAGAAAACATATTCAGAAGACTGGGCATATGGCGATGAAGAAGAAATTGAAGGTGTACGATCCTTTAGTTTACAAGAAAAGCTTGATTCCACACGTTATTTAAATCACAACTTTACTAAACAGATGGATGGAAAAGGTATGATTTAATATTTTTATAGTTTCAATTACCTAATAATACATATTTTATTTTATTTTTTCAGACTTTAATATTTCGTACCTCCAGAAACATGGTTTTATAATACCATTATTATTTAAGGATAAAACTGGTCTTGGATTACATGTCCCAAGTCCTAATTTTTCAGTGAATGATGTTCGTACATGTGTTGGTAAGTGTAATGTATTAAGTTTGTTAATGAATAGTTACAGTCTATCTCAATTTGAATCACTAAAGCAATAATTATTTATGATTTGTATTAAATCATTTAAAATTATTTATTTATTCATGCAATTACTACCTATTACTCACCGAAATCATAAAATATGTTGGTATATTTGATTTTGAGATATAGGTACCTAATGAAAATTAATAAGTACCTAATAAGTATATTGTATTTTGTAAACTTAAAAATATTGATTCATACATTTAAAAACTCAAATTAAGTTTTTAATTTTTTTGTTAAATAATTTATCTTTTTATATTTTGGTATTATTAATTAACCTTTTTATTTAGGATCAAGAAGAATGTTAGATGTAATGGATGTTAACACTCAAAAGAATTTTGAAATGACTATGAAAGAATGGACTAAGTATTATGAAGAACCGGTGAAAGATAAACTTTTAAATGTGATTTCACTTGAATTCAGCCATACAAAGCTAGAAAACTACATTAAACGTCCAAATATTGTAAATATTACTTTTTTAAACAACCATTTATTTTGCCATTATTGATTTATGCTTAAATTGTAATCAAAATATGAAAGTGATTTATAATATATTTTTTACTTTATAAATATGTATTATTAAAGTGTACTACTGACCTTTACATAATTAACCTACGTTCAATTATAAATAGGTTTGTTTTTTTATGTAGGTACGAGAGCTGGATTGGGTTGATTGTGTTTGGCCTAAACATTTGAAAGAGAGCCAAACAGAATCAACAAATGTCATAGATGATATGATGTATCCAAAGGTTCAAAAGTATTGTTTGATGTCTGTTAAAGGCTGTTACACTGATTTTCATATTGATTTTGGTGGCACGTCCGTTTGGTATCATATACTTAAAGGAAGCAAGGTAAAAATTGTCTATTTTTTAATTAACTAAAAAGTGTTAAATAAATATACATTTTAAGGTTTTTTGGTTAATACCACCAACTGAACAAAACATAAAATTGTATGAACAATGGATACTATCTGGTAAACAAGGTGACATATTTTTTGGAGATACAGTCGAACAATGTGGACGTGTATCATTGAATGCTGGGGATACATTCTTCATACCTACTGGTTGGATTCACGCCGTTTATACACCTAAAGACTCATTAGTATTTGGAGGCAACTTTTTGCACTCTTTTGGYATTGAAAAACAGCTCCGTGTTGCAGAAGTAGAAGAATCCACCAAGGTAATTATATTGAAATGTATACTAATTTATAGACTAATCTGAAAAAATGTTTAGGTACCTCAAAAATTCAGATATCCATTTTTTACTGAAATGCTGTGGTATGTTCTGGAGCGTTATGTTTATTGTGATTTGGGTAAATCTCACCTTGCTGAAGGCGTTGAAACTTCACCTTCGCCAGATGAGCATATACATTTCACTAAACAGGTAAAATACTAAAATAAAAATATAATAAGGAAACAGATTATATTGACATGCTTTTATTATTTGTACAGGAGCTTCATGGAATAAAAGCAATTGTGAAATATCTGCATATTTTGCCACCAAATAAAAAAAATGTTCCTCCTCTAATAAAAGATGCTATTGAGTTGATAAGAAATGTGGCCATTGTGATAAATAAACATAAGAATGATATTCCTGAATATGCCATTAGTGGAAAGCCGATTCTTAAGATTCAAGGAGATAAAGTATAATATTTATTTTAATTAATATTTATAATATTATAATCATACTTTTTATTTGCATAGGAAAGGGAAAGAAGGTTTTATAAGACAGCTGGTGATATGAACGCTAAAGTAAAAATTTCACGAAAAACAGCTTCTGGCACAGGAGGGCCTAGAAGAAGGCGTACAAGATGTAAAAAATGTGAAGCTTGTAAACAAGCAGATTGTGGAGAATGTTCATTCTGCAGAGACATGGTAAAATTTGGTGGGCCTGGTCGTGCTAAACAGACTTGTGTGATGCGTCAATGCTTGCAGGTAAGTTAATAAACTAAATAATAGAATTTATTTTCAAGAACTGAATCAATGTATTGTTTAATGTTATAGCCGATGTTACCAATAACTGCAGCATGTGGAATTTGTTCATTAGACGGCTGGGGTCAACAAATTATTATTCCTATACAGAAAGCAGCTAAAGATACTCCTAGCCAACTTATGGAGTGTAGTGTATGCTTTGAAATTGTACATCCTGACTGCTTATTAAAACAAGTAAAAACATATTCATTACAATTGCTTTTCAAAATTCAGATTATTAATATCGACTAAAATTATAAATTACATTTTTCAGCCTATTTATACAAATACTGGTACTTATAATGAAGATCTACCTAATAGTTGGGAATGTCCCAAATGTTGTAAAGAAGGGAAGGA